CAAGAAAGTAAAAAGGAGTCTACTGTAGACCAGAGGATGGAAATAAGGGGTAAGGGGGAGAGTGTAAGGGTGGATAACAGTGGGGATGAATATGATCACAACACTTTACATGCATTGAAACCACCAAAATGTGAAACTAGGGGGGAGAATGGGGCAAGGGAGTGGTGGAGGTGATTCAAGTATGTTATGTGCATATGCAAATTTGCCCAAATGACACCCATTAATCTGCATAACCAACATGTACTAATAAAAGATTTAGTAAGTACTTTATACATATATTTTTTCACTACAAATAATAATTTAAAATTAAATATTAATAATTTCAATTAATTAATTCAGTACTTTTAGAGATTCACAAGTCATACAGTATTCAAAAATATGTCACTTATGAGGAAATATAGTGAAGGTTATTTCCTTTGTATTTGTCCTGTCTGTGTTTCTTGTCTGCCTAAATAAATTATTTGCATTGAAAAGTTATCAAATGAAAAAAATGGTGGCAGGCAAATTATGACAGCTTTAATAGAAAATAGTAACAGACTGCCTCTTCTGAGAGTGATCCTTAAAATTTTTTAAATCTCAGGACCCCTTTACATTCTTAAAAATTATTAAAACTTGAAGAGCTTTAGTGAGTTATATCTATTAATATTTATTACTTTAGAAAATAAAACTGAACAGATTTTAAATTTTAAAATAGCAATACCTTACATGTTCATGTAAATAACAAATTTTTATGAAAACCAACTATAATTTTCGGGGATAAACCTTTAGTGAGAAGAGTGGTATTGTTTTTACTTCTTTCCCAAATATCTCCTGACATCTGGCTTAATAACAAATAGTTAAAATATCACATCTTCTTTGTAATCAATCTGTTGTGAGATCATGAATTATGTAGCTTCTGAAACTCAAAAGAATAGACTCTGAGTAGTATCACAAAAGTTGTTTAACCTTACAGATCACTTGCCCTCCAAAAATTTCAGGAACTTAAGAAGTTCCTAACATAGGCAAAAGTTAAAACTATTTTAAAAAGCAAACAAAACAAAAGAACAAAGGACAAAGACAGTTTTGAAGATTTTCACTGATCGTGATGATTTAAAAACAAAACAGAAGCAGCAGGATTGCCAATACAAGCCCATACTGGGCAATTTAGCAAATTGGAAAGCCCCTGTCTCAAAATAAAAAAATGAACTGGGGATGTGAAGACCTTGGAGGGAGAGAGGGAGGGAGAGAAAGAGAGAGAGTAAAATCTAAATGTCTTATTGGCTTGTTGGCAATGAAGGAGCTAGAATATAACAAGGAAAATGGAGAATGGAATATTTCGAAAACCGTGTACCCAGAATTTAAGGAGTGTCATGGTGTAAATGTTCAGAAAATCTGTTGGGAAGAAATACATATAATGATGCAGACAAAAAAATAAGACTGGTGGATCTGATGGGTTGTTATGGCGCGGGGGTGGGGGTAGGGGTGGAGGTGGTGGGATAGGAGGGCGGGCGCTTAATCCTGCAGAAATTTGCAATGCTGACGAACTGGTGTTGTGTTCTTACAGAAATCTTAAACATGGCCCATGAGAGAATCCCAATAAAATAAGATATAAATCATCTTTTCTTGGAATCCATTGCTGAAGATACCAAATAAAGACATCAGGGTTTAGAAAGCTGGCATCTGAGCTATTTGAATGAAAGCTGTGTGCAATTTACCTGCCAATAGGAAATATTTTTTAGCAGCACAAGCTCACTGTGACTGGAAAGATCTGTAAAACTTATTGCTTCTGTTCACAAATTCCTCTCTTGAACTTGTGAAAAGCAACGTGTTGGCATTTCATTTCCCTCAGTGAGATGAGCGACTCCATAGTTTTACTCTGTCTCTCCTCAACCTTATCCCAATGACATTGATTACAGTGACACAGTCCTGTCTATGACCTCACACAAGCAGTTATCAATCATTTATGGAATATGTAGCACCCTTATAATTAGTTTGGACTTGTACATACTTGAAGCTTTAAAAAATAATAAAAACCAATAGTTTCTTATTTCTAAAAGTCCTTAAAATCACACTTTGAATACACTTAAAATCATACTTTATGAAAATGTTTACGAAATATCTAAAACTACTGTACCAAGGCTTACTGCATGTCACATAATTAATAAATAAAGCCAAACAGTCTTCCACAGTTGCATTCTACCAACCTGCCTGTGAAATGATCACATGTTTGGGACCAAGTGAAACAAAGGAAAAATAAAAAGAGGTGCCCAGGAAATAATGCTATCAGAAGATGAGGCAACAAACCCTCTACAAGATCAGTGAATCACAACATTCCACAGATGTTAGGGACGGTGTGTGGCTAATAGCACTACTTAGACCATCTGGAGGGAATGCTTAGAAGAGTGTCAACTATCTAACTATATTAACAATACACCAAAGTGAACTACTCGAAATGAAGGAACTAAATAGTAGGAACTAAATAGTTCAAAGCAAGTAGGATTTTCTGGATGCTGCATATACTGCAAACTTGAGGGTTTGTGCTGGCAGAAAGCTGTGCGACAGGAAGGAGGAAAGGCTGTCCATCTTGTCTGTTCTCTGAGTTCTGAACACTGAGATACATGTAAGGCTGGGGTGTTCACATATGCACTCTCCTCTGTACATTCACCTATAAAGGCAAATTCTACCTTAAAGATGTTTATAAGAAAATCCAGGTCTGGGCATGGTGGCTCAGGACTGTAGTTCTGGCCACTTAGAAGATTGAGGCAAGAGAGTCCCAAGTTCTTGTCAAACCCACGTAGCTTAGTGAGACGTCATCTCAAAGGCAGCAGGGTGGGGGTGGGGGGTTGTCAGGATGTAGCTAAGTGCTAGGCCCTGTGTTCAACCTCTATCATTTATTTTTTATTTTTTTTAGTACTGGGTATCCAACTTGGGACCTTACACTTCTGAAAGCAGACAGTGGAACCACTAAGCTAAATCTCTGGCCCTTAATACATAGAATGTATTTTTTTTTTTTTTTGGTATTGGGGATTGAACTTTGGACCTTGCCCTTGCAAGACAGGTGGCAGAATCACTGAGCTAAATCCCCAGCAGCTATTACTGTTAAAAAACATTTTTTTTTCCAGGCTGCTATGGTTCCACCTGTTTTCAATGGAATTTGATGAAACAATCTCGTCTATCAAGAGATGACCAACAAAAAGGTTCTGTTCTGTGTTATTTTCTGGAGATTAGGAACAAAAAGAAGAATTTATAGATTGTCAATAATTTTTACAGTGCAGAGTTTGGAAGAATTTATTGACTTCAAGAAGTTGGTTTACTTGACATTTTTAAGCTCCAGAATGAATTTAAAAAATCAGAAGGAAGCCAGAGCTGAGGGGGTGGCGGCACATGTCTGTGATCCCAGCACTCCGGGAGGCTGAAGGAAGAGGATCATAAATGCGAGCCCCGCCTGGGAGACTTAGTGAATTAGAGAGACCCTGTCTCAAGAAGAGAGGGTAAGGAGTGCTGGGGATTTAGATCAGTGCAAAGACCCCAGGTTCAAGCCCAGTATTGCCAAACAAACAAACAAACCAAAATGACAAGGAATGTATGAAAATATAATAAGGTTTACTAACAAAGTTAATGAATTTAAAGAAAAAGTAAGTTTAGAACAGTCCTATGAGGGATTTAACTGGTACCTTACAAGTACCTCACAATAATTTAACTCAATATCCCTCTCCCACCCTTTTTATTATTGTTATTTATTTTATTTCTACATATATTTTATTGTTGAGGACATATGATATTTTTTAAAACTATCAATATTAAACTATCTTATCCACTTATGTACCTTGCTATTCTCCTTTTCTTATGGTCAGCACTTCTCTGTGGGAACATTTTCTTTCAACCTAAAGAACACTAATGTTTCCTATAATGTGATTTTTTTCAGGGGGATATATGAGTTTTCACTTGTCTGAAATTTGTTTTATCTTTGTTTTTGTTTTATCTTCCTGTTTTGAAGGACATATTCATGGAATCTAGAATTTCTAGGTTAGCAACGTTTTTCCCTTCATTTTTTGAAGGAAATAATCCCATTTTTGGTCTCCACAATTTCTGTTTAAAAATAAGTCAAAGGTTTTATTGTTGCTGTTCTGGAGGTATTATACCATTTTCCTCTCTGTTTTTGTGATTTTTCCCTATCTGTAATTTTCCGCAGCTGATATGCTCAAATAAAATTATCATTATCCTTGTTTGGGTTTACTGAGATTCATTATACATTGATCCTTTTATCAGTCTGAAAGTTCTTGAGCATTTCCTCTCCCAGTATGAACTCTGCCTTTATTCTCTTTGTCCTTATACCTTCTGAGATCTGAATGTTAGACCACACGCTTTATTTATTTTATTTTTGTTCCTTTCATTATTCAGTTTGAATATTTTCTGTGGACTTGTCTTTGATTTTACTAACCATGTCTCCTGCTCTCTAGGTGTTAAACATATTCAATAAATTCTTGATTTCAGATATGGTATCATGTGTCCTAGAATATCTATTTGATTTCAAAAATAAATACACTATGCTAAAGTTTTTCACTTTTCAATCATTTATGCATTTCCCTCAATTTTCCTGAAAATGTTATTATAGTTATTTTAAAGTCAGTGTCCAGTAAATCCAATAGTGAATTTACCTGTGGCTGTCCTCTCTGATATCTTTTTTTTTTTTTTGCATGCCCAGTAATTCTTAGATATCAGACATCATGTAAAAACTAAAATGTGTTTAGTATATTTCACATTTCTAAATTGTATCAGTGCTGCAAACTACTAGGAGCCTTGCTGTTTTCTCTTTTTCTTGGAAAGCAGACTGTCTGTCTATAAGGGCCAGGCAGAATCCTCTGTCCTAACTTGGCAAATGTCACAAAGGAAGAAAATGGCTTATGATCACTAGCTCACCTTCAAGAGTGCTCTACCCTTCAAGAATTTCCATTAACCTAGTCCTAATTGTGATTAAGTACTTTGATGTCTTTATAGTGCTTTTACAAATATAGTAATACCTCAGTTCATGAATCCTTCTGTTTGCAAACAATTCCGGTTGCAAACAAAAGCACCGGCAAATTTTGGTTCCATTCACAAATTGCATTGGGTAACAAAGAAGGCCACAGTCATCTTCCCCACACAAACACAGATGCAGCCATCTTCTCCCAAACTGTAAAACAAATTATGTTTGTACATTGACATACTGCTGTAATTTGAAAAAGCTTTTTTTTTTTTTAATACTTACTAATGTAAGACCCTGGAGTTCCTGCAACCTACTATGCTCTAGTTAGAGGTAAAGGGCTGTTTTTGCAGCTTTAACAAAAACTCTATGATGATGACTCCCAAATCTCCAATTAGGAACTCTCAATCTTTGTGCAGTCCTGTTCAACAGCTAACTTTGGTAGGATTCTTCTTTCCCTTAAAGGAATCCAAGCAGGCTTCTTTTGTTCTCTGTTGCCTTGTCTGATACACATGTCCATTTGGGGCTCTGCTTTGTCTTTTATTTCCCATTTCCATCCTCAGTGGACTGAAAATTCTCCTTTCAGTTAAAAAAATAAAAAAGAATACCTTTCAAAAATAGCAACAAGGAGGCTTAACTTATAGTTCATTATCTTCAATTCTCAAATAAGAGAATTGAGATTTCAAGAATGAGCACAAGGCAACAGCTTACATTGGAGCTGAATCAAGACTTAATGAAGGTTTATTTCATTCCTTTTTTCTACATCTACCATGCTGTTGTCCCTCTCTGAATAAGGGAGTCAAGGATTTTGTGTGGGACTATCTCAACTTCAAGTATTATGTGCTCATAAACCACTGAAATATCCTGCTTGATTAATCCCATGTGCATAATGGAAAGTTAACTTTTTGGTCCCTTCAGATGGAACACAAATTGTCACAGTACATCCTAATCTTCTGTCACCAAAATGTGGTCACTTTCTCCTTAACCATATTCTATACAGCTGGACATTCATCATATCTTCTAATCCATAGAACAACCTATGGAGAGGTAGGTTCTAATGTTAAAATTTTTCTAATGCTAAGGAATTGAGACTGAGGGTTTTGTTTTGTGTTGTGTTTGCTTTTGGTACCAGGGATCAAATTCAGGACCTTGGGCTTGCGAGGCAGCCATGGTACCACTGAGCAAAATCTATGGCCCCGAGGCTTAGTTTTGTCAGGTAAATTTTCTTAACTATTTATGCTATCCTATCTCTCTCAAAGACTTTTATTGGATCTGCATTGCTTTTCTCATTGAAATGATGCCATGTTTGACTTTCAAGACCTCCACAATTTGTGTTACTCATTTTAACTGTGCTTCTCCAGCTTTATTTCAGAAAAGGCTGGATCAAGCCTAAACTGGGCTAAATCCGTGGTCACGCCAACCCAGTGCGTAGGTGCCAACAGCAATATTGCTGAGAGCAGTCAGACTTGACCTTGTCCTTTTTCTGAGGAGTAATTTTTGGCTTTGTTATTAGCAAATTTCCCAAATTTGTTTGTATATTGTGCTAGCAGCAGCTCTTGGAAGTCACGAATTTCACAGGGTTATTACTTCGTAAGTGATCAGTTACCTCTTTTGATTTAGCCTCCTGTAGCCATGCTTATATTTCAAATATTTCTTTTATGTTCACATCAAGATTCAGTGATATATGATTTGTTTGTGTGCTGCCTAAAGTTGTACTATGTATTCCCCTGGTTTGGAGACTTGGTGTACCTACTCTGGGTCACTTTAGCCTTGTCTTTCTTAAGTGTATAACAATTTCTATCCTTTAGAATACTCTGCATCATCATTCTTCCTTTTACTTATCCTCTTGGCTTCTGATATAATTGTAGTATTTCTATGATTCAGAGACTCAAAGTATATTCCCCCCAAATAAATGGTTTTGAGGGGTTAATACATCAGAGTTTTCAATATAAGACCAGGGCTATTTTCTCTCCTATTTCCATTACCATTGCTGATAGTACTTAATATCGCACCAATCTTTTCCAACAGAAAACACAGGCCTGCTGACCTTCCTAGGTGCATCATAACACCGAAAAGACAAGGTGAAGCTCTAGTAAAGAAGCATTGTTGGCTATGAGGCAGAAGACCCTGGTGCTGGGTCTATCTTTCACTAATTATGTGACCCTGGGAAAATCACTGATCCAATAAAACCTTACATGTTTTATTAGAATTGTGTTAAATACTAGGATACAGAAATAAGCCACATGCCCTGAATTTAGGGAACTTACAGGCTACTGGAAGGTACTGAAAGGAAAATCAGTGATTAAAATAGGGTATGATATGTGTTAAGAAGTCTGTACTAGACGCAGGAGCCCAAAAGAAAAACTCCTAGATGAGACATCTAATCTATTTAGAAAAAGAATGAGAACGAGTCAGAAAACACTCCAAGAGTGATGATATTTTAACTGAGGCCTAGGTAATCCAATGCTCATTGCTGTATTCTCAGCTTCCACAATAGCAGGTAAGGGGTGAGTATTCAGTAAGTATCCACTTACTGTGACAGTGAGGCAGGAACTTCATGTGTCTAGGAGGCTTTGGACAAAGGTATGGAGCTGTCAGAGACACAGTGCGTTCAGGGAACTGTAAATATGGAGTGCTAGAGTGGTTGGGTCTAAGGTTGAAAATACAGCTCAAGACCAGAATGAATATAAAAGGCCTGGTGTGCCTTGTAAGACTTTTAAAAGCAATAGGGAGCCACTAGAGGATTTTGGTGCAAAAGTCACACAATCAGATTTTTCTGTTATTTTGATAAGTCAGTTATCAATTTATTGTCTCTCAGCTCCAGATTCATTCTATATTGCCTTGGTTTAAATAGGACGAGTTCCTTTAAATGTTTCTCCCAGCCTGCTGTCATGATGTTAAGCTTTGTTAGGACAGGGCACTCAGAGAGGAGAAACACTGGGGGAGAAAGGGATCTATCTTGCTAGTTCAGGTGGGCCCCTGTTTCTAAGATACAGGGTACCTACAATTTCCCCAGTGCTGGGGTCCAGCAGCACGCAGCTTTTCCAATCTCTAGAGAAGATGCCGTATGTGATCCCATGAGTGCCTGACTGCTGCAGTACATGCCCGAAATACAGCCAGTTGCCCTGTGTGTGCTGTGTTTGGATGAGGAATTCCCGGAGTTTATGTGTGAAAGGCTTGATCCCCGGCGTGGTGCCTTTGGGAGGTGGAACTTTTGAGAGATGGGGCCCGGTGGGAGTTGCTTGGATCATTGGGAATATACACCTGAGGGGAGCTGTGGGACCTCAGTTTCTTCCTTTTCACTTTGCTTCTTGGGTCATGAGGAGAGTGATATGGTCTGCCACACACTCCCACCATGATGTATTCTCAGCACCAAAGGCCCAAAGCAGTGCAGCTGCTTGATCTTGGACTGGAAGCTCCAGAACTATAGTCCCAAATAAACCTTTTCTTCTTTAAAATTAATTGCTTCAGGTATTTGTTTATAGTGATGGGAAGCTGACTAATATACTCTGGCACTTCTCTTGGAAAGCTTTGCAGCAAAGTGCTGCCAGTGAGTCACCTTCATGTAAATGGTTTTCCTGGCATCCCAGCATGTGGATTCTGCCTTCCTGGCACCTCTGCAATTTTTTTGCCCTCTTGTGAACTGTGGCCATGCCCTCTGCAACAAGTCCTGGAAGAGGTTTCAATTCATCTCAAGGGTAGTGTTTGCTCCTTTTTTCTATGATTCCTGTATTTTTTAGATCTTGCTTTACATTTTTGCTGTTGTTGTTGAGATATCACTATATAGTCCAAGGTAGACTTAAAGCTGCTATATAGCCCATGCTAGCCTTGAACACACAATCTTCCTGCCTCAGTCTCTGGAGTACTGGGATTACAGACATGTGCCACCATGACTGGCTTGCTTTATATCTTACTTGCCTGCCCTCTATTACTCTAATCCTATTATTGTCAAAAACATCTTTATTTTGAAGCTGTCCTGTTAAATTACTAGATAATTTCTTTCTTTTGTAGGACCCTGAAATATGTATCGACTGTCACCGGTATAGTGGGCTGAAAGGAGCTGGGTGAGGCTTCAGACAGGAAGCATGAATAGGACAATGTGGCAGCTTTTTGGGTAACAAATCTCGAGAGTTTCATTGCTTTGGAGGAAATTGAAATAGGGAGAGATAAGAGGCAGATATTTAGGAAAGAGAATCCATAGGACTTGGTAATCAATAGGGGAGAAGGATGAGGAGTATAGAGTAACTCCCAGTCTCCACACTTGGGTGACTGTATTCATGGTAGTGGCGCCATTAAGAACACGGAGACCATTGAAGGTGGGCCAGATAAATTTCTCCTCCTATGTTCCCTTATTATCAGGAGTTCCGTGCACTCTTGAGTCACAAAGACTTGGAATCATAGACTCCTTGAGTGGAGAGGCACTAAAATCCACCTTTCCGCCTTTGGGCCCTAAGAGCCATTTGCCCACATTAGATTTGAAAAAGTTGGGGGAAAGGTACATTCTATGCAGCATTTTATAAAGTTCTTTTATATTCTTAGCCTGTAGGTTCAGTGGGCCTTCTTCAATTACACATTCTAGGGCACCAACTCTTACAATTCAATAAATTTCCTATTAAGTGAAACCTACTTGCCTCCCAATGGGGAACAGCAGGCCAATACATACTTGCTAAGTGCTGAAGAATATAGATCTTAATCAAATATCAACTGTAAGCTTGTTTCTGGAATTTCCAGTTAGATTTTATTGGTGTGGGCTGACCAGGGCTTCAGTTAGAGAAATGAGAGTCGCCAGTTAAATGAATGAAAGGTTTGAGAATCTCAGAGAAAGAAACAACTTTTGGAACCAAGGGCCAGGCAACAGTACATTCTTGTTTGGGTTTGGAACAGGAGGTTTCAGACATTTGATTAGTCCTGCTTGGAATGCACTCCCTAATTTTCACAGTTTAATTCTTCCCTCAGAACTGGGCTTGCCTTCCCTGACCTCACTGTCTGTTCCATTATACCATCTCAGGATATCACTTACCCACACCCTCTCCTTGGGGTCACTTAGCTCTAATTTTACATAATTCGTGAGATTCTATGATTAACGCATTTCCCCTTATAGACTGCAAAGGCAAAGGGAGGAAAGGCCAGTTTTTGCTCACTCTAGAATTCCAATGCCTAGCTCAGTGCCTGTAACTCACAGTTTGAGTACATACTGCTAAAAATGATTGACTGGTGTCAGCTTGTAATGGTTGGCCGGCCATATCATTGGTCCCCCTAGCGGTCCTCCAAAGGTGTTGTCATAACCACGTTACATGAAAAAGCAAATCTGCTCCTGGGTAAGGCTTTGCTTTCAGATTCCGTTTCCAAATCTCTGTTCTCAGCGTGAGATATCATAAAATAGTATTTCTGGGTACCCAAAACACACACAATTAGGTCAAAAAGCAATGACCCCCCCCCTTACCCCGTTCCTTTGCTCTGGAGGAGGAAGCTCTGGAATCCGGATGGGGCCCTAGGGCAGGGCTGGTCCCTCAGTCTAGCCCACTCTGGGATGGTCTGGGAGTTCCCCTCCCTCCACATCCCCTGGGGGCTGCTACCTTAGGCTCGCTCCCAAACTGGTTGTCCGGCCTCAGGCGACACCTCGCGCCTGGCTTCAGGCGGGAGATGTGAGGCAAACTCCAAGGCCTGGCACCCTTGGCGGAGGGAGAGCAGCAGGACCTGGGCGGCAAGAGTGGTGCCAGCCAGGCGGGGGACTGGAGCGCGGGCGCGGCGGGCGCGACCCGGCCTCGTTAGAGAGCCTCGCTGCCGCGCCACCCCCGCGGAGGAGAGAGGCGAACTGCTGGGCTTTGCCAGGGGACCGAGTGGGCGCTGGGTGGGGGGCGTGTGTGCTAGGGACTCGGATGGGGAGTGTTGCGATTTGCAGGAGACTTGTGTGGGTTTAGACGGCAGAAGAGAGGAGCTTAAAGTGACCCATTGGTTGATGACAGGGGGCAAGTGAGGGAAAGCCTTGGGGACAATTAGTAAGTAGCAAATCCTATTTTCAGTGCTTTGTTTGTTTGTTTTATATACTAGGACCTGTTCTAAGTGTGTTCCATATATTAACTCGTTTCATCCTGACAGTCACCCCAAGGAGGCAAATACTGTTGTCTTTATTTTTATTTTCCTTTCTCTCGCGAAGAAAGGAAGGTGGGGTTAGACGGAGTAGGAAGAGAACCAGAGACACCCGGGACACAGGGAGAGAAAGAAAAGGCCCCGCAGAACGTGGCACTGCCAGGCTGCTTTCACAAACATAATGGTCTCCATGTTAGTACATCTGCAGGTGGGCGCACATTCGTTTTAGGAATGGGGAACAGGTTCAAAACTTGCCTATTGTCAGACAGCTGGCAGGAGGGCCAAATGTGCCCCCTACCTCTTCAAGATTGTTCTGTTTTAAACTCCCAACATCTTTCTCTGCTTCACCTTTGGCCACATCACACTCATTTTTAAGGTGCCCATCGCAACTCCCAGTCTTTCAGTCCACTTATACAGCAGTGTGACTTATCTAAATCAATGTGTTTACCCAGGGCCTTCAGAGGTGGCTCTAGCAGGGAGATGAGAGCTGTTGCTTCTCCTTAAAGCAATTTCAAGCATCAGTGAACAAGTGGGGGAGCTGGATTTTGGTTAAGTATTCAGAAGGCTTTTCACAGCCTCTCCTCCTCTATTTTAGAGGGCCTGCCCTGCTGGCATTCGTCAGAGTCCTCACAGGTCCTTGCACACCTGGAGAATCCTGGAAGATCTGGGGCAGCCATGGCCCACAGGCAAGACCTGGGCATCGAATCACTGGCCACAACCTTCCTTTCCAAGGCCTCTGTGGACCACAACTGTTGGCATAGGCACCTGACTGGGAAGTGTGCTTTGGGCTGCAGGTGCATTCTTCAGGAGAAAAAGAATACTTTGGCCACATGCATCTGTCATGTGTGCACACAGGAAGGTGTGCAGATTAAGCAAAAGTGACATGACTGAATAAAAATGATTTTTTTTGTGTGCTGAAAAGAATGGGTATTTCTAGGCAAAGTGGTAACCAGCTGGGCATGGAATATGAAAAAATTGAATTTTAGTGTTACAGATTAAATGTTGAAAAGGAATTTTATGATGGTGTCTCACTGAGATGGTCTGACATCTGTCTGTAGGAGGCCAAGTTAGGCAGGTTTATCTGTCAATAAATATAATACACAGTAGCAAAGAAAGTACTACTTTATAAGGAAACAAACACAAAATTCAGGGAAGTTGTTTTGTTCCAAGAAAGAGGCAGGGGTGGGAGAGGGAGGTGGACATAGATAGATGTGGCTGGTGGTGGCCTAGCTCCTGCAGTAGGTGGTGGATTTTTATGGGTGTTCATTTTGTTTTAGAACTTATGTGGACATTTTAGAGCTTCAAATAGTAGATATAAATCTTTTAAAATAAATCTATTGAATAAGTCACACATTCTCTGTTTGATGGATAGTTAATAATTGAGTACATTATTTCTCACCATTGCATTTTTTTCTTTTCTACTACATCAGTTCATCATTATGCAAACGTGGTCTAATTTTGCTCATGGAATTCACCTCCATCTCTGACTCATTTGTCTGCTCTCCTCTATAGCAAAGTTCTTTAAGAGCATTGTCTGTGCTTTCTGCCTCTAAATTCTCCTCCCAGTCTCTCTTGAATCTACTTGAATTGGGGTTTCATCTCTATCAGTCCACAGAAACTACACTTGTCAAGGTCCCCCAAGATTCACTACTAAATCCAAGATCATCTCTTGGTCTCAGCTCAACCCACCAGCAGCATTTGACCCTGTTAACTACTCTCTCGGCCTTGAAACATTTTATTTCCTTGGCTTCCAGGACATCACACACATGGTTTCTCTCCTTCCTCATTGGCTGTTTCTTTGCAATCTCTTTGCTGCTTTTCCTCCTCTGTTTGCTACCTTGATGTGGCACTGCCCTAGGGTCTGACCTTGAACTTCTCTATCTGTACTCACTCTATTTTTGATGTTATCAAAATTCGTGTTTTGGATCTCAACTTTATTCTCCAGCTTGAATATTTCCTTCGATTCCATGTTAGGATATCCAGCTGTCAATCTAGTCATACCACTGGATGTCTAATAGATTTCCTGGACTTAACATGTCTGTTATGATTTGGATCTAAAATGTTCCCTAAAAGTCTCACGTATTCATTAGCGGAGATTTTGGAAGGTGATTGGATCATGGGGGCAATAGCGGCTTAATCTATTGATCAGTTCACAACTGAATGTGCAGGTAGGAGGTGAGGCCTGGCCAGAAGGGGTGGGTAACTAGACTATAACCTGGAAGGGTATATTTTTGTCCCTAGATCCTCCTTTTGTTCTCTGCTTCATGGCTGCCATGGGGTGAACAGTTTTCCTCTACTATGAGTTTCTGCCTTGGAGCCAGCTAACTAACCATGGGGTGAATTCTCTGAAAACCATGAGCCAAAAACAAACCTTTCATCCTTTAAGTAGAGTGACAGATATTTTGTGCCAGCAATACCGAAGTGACAGGTAGCATACGTGGAGTTATTACCAAGACGGTACCTGACAAAGTGATTCTAAAGCCTTTGGAATTATTCTATGGGAGGAGTTTGGAAAAGTTTGGAGATGTAGGCTACAGAAGCCCTAGAATGATGATAGTGAACCTTTTAGATGAGTGCCCAAACTGCAATCTAAAATTGACTTATTTATAGCAAAGTGTCAACATTGCAGTAATCTGAATACTGAGGTGGGGTGTATTTGTTTTTTTGCTTTGTTTTTGTTCTGAGACAAGGTTTTGCTGTGTGGTTCAGGCTGGCCTTGAATTAATTGTGCAGCCCAGGCTGGTCTTGAATTCACAGCAATCCTCTTGCCTCAGCCTCCCAAGTGCTAGGCAGGCATGTGCTACCATGTCCAGCTAATACTGAGGTTTTTAGTTTAGAAACAACTAATACATTAGCACCTTTTGTCTTAAAAGAAAAACAAATAACATGTGTGCCATAGGTTCACGAGCACTGCCCTAAAATGTTGTGAGCAGTGCTTGATGGGTGAGACAGGTCAGAGCTCAGAAGAGAAATGTACTGATAGAAATGTGGACAGAAATGGCCAGGCTCAGTAGCAATGAGGGAATGAAGGCTATTGGGAAATGGCCTAGAAGTTATGCATGTTTTACTTTGGCAAAGTTGGGGGAAATGAGAGCATGGCCGCTGAAAAGATCAGTATTACAAAGTAGCCATATATTTGCATCAGGATAATATCTCAGGAAGCAGCCAGATGCCACCCATGGCAGAATTGAGTATAAAAAGATTGGGCTGGGGATTTAGCTCAGTGGCACCATGCTTGCCTCATAAGTACAAGGTCCTGAGTTCAATCCCCTGCACTGCCCCCCCCAATATATATATATATATATGTGAGAGACTGCTTGGGCCTGCATAAGATGGCTGCCCTCAACCTTAGCCTTTGCCTCGGTGGAAAAATCCCACTAGACTACGTATGTGACTTTTGGCAGGTTTAGCCCCTGGGCAAACAGGAAATCTTACAGAAAAAATAGCCCTTTGTGCTAACCACAGGGTCACGGGATCTGGAACAGGAAGCAGGTGGTATTTCCCTGTCCTACTTGCCCCTAGGGATTGTGAAGTTAAAGATTGCATAGGGTTAATTGTTGATGTACGCCTTCCCACTTACCCCTCCCCACATTTGGTAAAATACTGATTGCTGTATGGTTAAATGCTTGAGTGACTCATGTGATTGATTTGTTTGAACTGTCCAATAAGCTTGCTGAACCTTCCCCCTGGGATAACAGTATATAATCGTTTTGCTGAGCCAATAAAGCGCCTTTGATCAGAAACCAGACTTGGGCCGTGTACTCTAACTTCTTAAAGATTTCCTCCACAGACATTCAAGATCGGATCGGCCTCTGATGACCCACGAATAAGAGGCGGCTCTCACCTCCTATTCCCCGCGGGACGGGGTCCCCCCAGAGAGCCGCA